TGGTGGGAAAGCTTAGGGAGGGAAAAGCGATGGGAAGTTATGGAATTTCAAATGAGGTATGAAAGTTTGGAGGGGAGGTGGTGAAGGAATGGTTGTGGGAGGTATGTAATAAAGTGTGGAAAAAAGAGGGTTGACCGGAAGGTTGATGGGAGGGAATTATAGTGCCCATAAGAAAGAAGGGGAAGGGGGAGAAAGTCGGGGACTACAGAGGGGTGATGTTAGCACAAGCGGCATACAAGGCGCTGCTGTTTTGGCGGAAAGGTTCAGGAAGGAGGTAGAAGAGAAGGGATTGCTTCCGTAGAGTCAGACAGGGTTTAGGAGAGGGATATAGGGACCACGGACAACATCTATGTATTAAATTACTTAATAAATAGGCAGGTACATTAAAGAAGGGGAAGATGGTGGTGTTGTTCGTGGACTTGAAGGCAGCTTTTTTGACTCGGTGGACAGAAGGATTCTGGTGGAAGCGATGAGGAAAAGAGGAGTGAGGGAGGGCTTGGTGATGAGATGTAAGGAGCTGTTGAGGGATGCAGGGTAAGGGTGGGAGAGGAGCTGGAAGAGAGGTTTTGAACAGGAAGGGGAGTTAGACAGGGATGCCAGTTAAGCCCGATTTTGTTTACGTTGCTGTTAACGGACAAAGAAAGGTACCGAATAAAGAAATTAGAGTGTAATAAGTCTTATATGAGATATAAAAAGAAAGAAAAAAAAATAAAATATGAGAGAGATAAGTACGTGAAGTAAGCGGAGAGGGAAGAGGAATGGGAGGTGGTGACGATTAGATATTAGTACAGTAGAGGAGAAAAAGGAATGAATTAACGGAGAGAAATATTGGAATGGGATAAATATTTTAGAATAAATATAACGGGAAATATATGGACATGGATGGCGCACGCGTTAGTGCAGTGCAGTGTAAGGAGTAGTTAAGTGTAAGGAAAAAAATGAGAGCCGAGGAAGCGAAGTGTGATAAGTCTTATGCGAGAAGTAAAAAGAAAGAAGAAAACAAAATATGGGAGAGACAGATATGTGAAGTGAGCGGAGAGGAAATAAGAAACGAAAGGTGGCGAATGGACATTGGTACAGTGGATGAGAAAGGGAATACATTTTAACGGGGAGAAGTGGTGATGTGGGATGAGTGTTTTAAGGTGAAATGGAACAAAAAAAGTTTAGAGCGCGCGCGTAGCGCGCGTGTGTGCTAGTCTATAATAAAAAAATCCATGTAGACGCGAGAAGTTGGCCCGTGGTCGAGTAGTATTGTTGCCGCTTTTCCGCGTGCGTGATTGGCCGATGCGTGCGTGCGGTCGATATGATGCGGCGATCGAGATCGCGCTGCGAGTTTCGCGTCAGTGTATGTATGTATATATACATATGTGTATGTGTCGTGTGATGTGACAGCTGGCATCGGTTGCGCGAGGTTA